GCCCCGGCCCACCGGGGTCCGAGCTCGCTCCCACGCTTGCGGCAGGGACGCCGCCTCCCTTTGCGCACTGGTTACAGAGGAAGAATAAGGAAAGGGAAGAAAGAAAACATGCTGGGTGGTGAGGGGCAGGAGAGACAAGCAAACCAAGGAAAACACAGAGGGGTGAACGTTTCCCGGAGCAGCCCACTCTCCTGGATAGTTTTCTGGGAGAAATGTTGTATAGGTGTGAGGCAGCCTGGCTGGCTCGTCCTTCCACCTGCGTCTACCCTAGCTCCCATGGCTCCGGTGGAAACCCTCAGGCCCACGCAGTCGAGGACGTGTGCAAGGGCTTGCAGAGCTGGAGGGCTTGCTCCCACTGAACCCTTGGGAGAGGAGCTTTTTTCCTCTAATTACAGGCAATACCTTCCTTTTCTTCCAGTCACTCCCAAGCACCTGCAATTCCAGGTTAACGCTTACAATACTCCTCCTCTATGAGTCCCATGGCAAAAAGAAAAAAAAAAAACACCCTCCCCTTAGAGATCAATAATTTCTTGGTTCACAAGGGATTTTGTTTGCTCTTAGGAAGAGCTAACTTGTGCCAGGAGCCCACCTGGCACAGGTAGATGGGTTTTTGCAGCCTGCCCCGGGGGAACCGGCCTTTCCAAGGCAGCATCGGACACTGGCCCCCTGGTAGCCACTCACGCTACTCGTAGCTGGGTTAAGTACAATTCATGGAGGCACACTGGTCATTTAGGGATCGTTAAGAGCGGCCTGACATCTTTAAAACCAGCAGGGCTGTTTTTCCTCCTTGCTTTACACGGCTTCCTGCGAGCATGTGCTGACAGGCGCTTCCTCTCCCCGCAGTGCTCCGTGACGTGCGGCAAGGGATACCGGCAGCGCCTGGTGTCGTGCAGCGAGATTTATACTGGCAAGGACCACTATGAGTATGGGTACCAGAATACGGTCAACTGTCCTGGCACGCAGCCACCCAACATCCAACCTTGCTACCTTGGGGAATGCCCCGTTTCAGCATCCTGGCGCGTGGGCAACTGGGGAAGTGTAAGTTGGGCACTTCTTGTTTCATCTGGAAAAAATGTTAGCAAGCGATGGGTAGCTTCTGGGGTGGCGGGGGGGGGAGAAAGCTGGAGGACTGATCCTGCTTGCCCATGGGTGAGCGCAAGAGTTGGGAACTGCCAATAGGCCAATGCTGGTCATTTGAGCCTTAAAAGATTTTTTTTTTCCCCTCTTCTTGGAAATGCTGGGACAGGGCAGGGGAAAACTCAGCCTTTCTGTTAAAGTTATTTGTGCTGAGCCATTCCTGGGGCCTGAACTACAAGATCAAATTTTGGTTAAAGCAATAACACTTCACTACTTCGAGCTCCTGACGTTCTTTGAAATGCAGTGTTTCTCCCATAAATTTGATTTATTAATGCAGCTCAGGCATTTGTAGGAATTTGTCAAACTTTTACAAGGCAACAAAGGTCAAGTCGAGCAAAACGTAGTGAAAGTTGTCGTAGTAAGTGATGGAGCTGTTTGAAACCTAAGTTCCTCACGCCCCACAGGAAGTCTCAGGTTCTCCCCACGAGTCGGAGCAGAGGAGTTACAGCCAAAGGCTTGGCTCCCATGAACTCGCATTGCTCTCCCTCATATTCCAGTGTAAAATTTCCAACTGGACCTAGTTAACAAAACTTCTTTGAGAGGGGTATCCATTTCAGAGAGCAAGTTCCTCCTCCTAGATTTGGGCTCCTGAATGTATCAGTGACTGTAAAGTGCCATGACCCTTCTCATCTCTGATTTTCAAAGGAGTTTAACTTGAGTTACCATCACCTTTGATGGACAAATATAGAGCCCTGCTCTGCCCTTTAGTTAAATTTCTTGAATTTGGGACTGATAAAGAGTAAACACGAGGCTGTGACTAACCTGAGCCGTTGAAGAATGTCTCATTGTGCACAAATGTCATTTATGTGTTTCTAAACAGAGGAGCATCTCCATTTTCGTGGTGGCCTAACCTAGTACCTTTAGAAAGAGCTGATTTTTCAGTCTCAAGTACTGAAAGAACAAGTTACGGAAGGCTACCAAGATGCTCCTCGAGAAGTGTTTGTGCATGTCCTGCTTTAGGAGGCTGATCCCACCTGTGATTTGCTGCGCCCACGAGCAGCCAGCCCAGGCGAGCTCTTACTCAGTAGCTCCGGTAACCTGTGTTATTTCAGCCTTAAGATTGCCCTCGGTTTGGGGTGTTCAAGGATGGCCCAGTGTATGCACAGATATAGCCATTTTTCTAAAGGTGAAGGGAGAGAGGGTTTTGAGGCTGTTTTTCAGTACAATTTGGATAAGAAAACCAACAGACTGTCATCCTGGTTCAGAGGACCCTGTCAGTGACCCAAGCAGTGTTTCACAGCCACAGGGAGAGAATTTCTAGCATTCGGGCATTTGGGTGAATGTTTCTGTCTTGTATAACTGTCCTCGTATGAGAAAGTAATGTTTTTGTTTGAGCGCATGGTTCACCTTAATTAATACTGCCTTATCCAGCAAAGCATGTAAGTGCTAAGCTTTAAACTAGTACAGTCGTCTTCTCAAAATAATTAACGATGATGATAAAGAAAGGATTAATAATCAAAGGGATTACTTGTATGGTTAAAATTAAGCCTGTGTTTGAAAGCTTTGCTGGATTGGGGCCTTTGCTGCTCATCCTTAGTACAACAGAAACGGGTTGTCACTGTTTTTCTGGGCCAGAGCCCATAAAGCCTTGGGGTAAAACATGAATCCCAGCCTTTTATGTTCCAGTGCTCCGTAACCTGTGGGGTTGGAGTCATGCACCGCTCAGTGCAGTGTTTAACCAACGATGACCAGGCCAGCAGCTTGTGCCACGCGGATCTGAAACCTGAGGAAAGGAGGACATGTCACAACGTCCACGATTGTAAGTCTGCGGATTTGCGTCTTCCCTTGCCTTTCTTACGGCTTGAGTTTCCGCCGGACTCCTGGAGATGTGCCGTATTTCCAGGTGTTGGGACCCATCCGACAAAGTGCTAAGGCACTTCAGGGAGACTTCTTAAAAATAAGAGTGCTGTTTTGGTGCGTGAGATATCTCACAGACGAAATTTTGATGTTCGATTGCTCAGCGACTACAAGTATTTCTCTTTCCTTCCAGGTGAATTACCGAGAAGTTGCAAAGATGTTAAAAATCTCAAAGGTGTCACTGAAGATGGTGAATATTTTCTTAAAGTCAAAGGAAAGACACTAAAGGTGCATTTTGGCAACAGATTGATAGTTTATGCATTTCCCAAAGGTGTAAGAGGACCCTGTGCATGCTCTTTACCTCCACTCTTGCCTTTTCTACCTTCAGTTTTCTAGGCCATCCTTTGACACGTGATACCTGACAAAACTGTGGCTTGTATCTCTCAGGTGTATTGTTCTGGGATGCAGACTGACAACCCAAAGGAGTACGTGACCCTTGTAAACGGGGACGCAGAGAATTTTTCAGAAGTGTATGGATACAGGTAAGAAATCCCTTAATTCCGATCTTCACAAAGCTTTTCTTTTCTATGGCAATATTTTTTCCGTCATGAGTAGAAAGGGTTTTCTTTTGATTTAGGTTACATAACCCGACTGAATGTCCATATAACGGGAGCCGACGAGAAGACTGCCAGTGTAGGAAAGATTACACAGCAGCTGGGTTTTCCACCTTCAGCAAAGTAAGGCTGGACCTGAACACTATGCAAATAATAAGTGAGTAAAAACAGGGCCTCACCATTAAAAAAAAATGTTTATTTTACACAACTGTAGCTGTAACTGCAAGCCAGCAGAAGTAGTCTAGTGAGTAATATTCGTGAGCTCTCCTGTTACAGAGCTGCTTTTCAACTTGGCCACTGGTTTGCTGTGTTATGCTTGGAGGATAGCTTGAGCAAATCAGAAATTCTCATACTATTTCTCTTTGAAGTGGGAGAAAATTAAGACAGTTGCTGTCACATCTGTTACGCAGAATGAATATTTGTGTGCTCCCAGCAGACCAGTTTATTTTCTAAAAGATTTTGTTTCATTTAGTGTCCTATTTTTAGACCAGACTCAGGCAGCAAGTGTAACCAGGGAGGAGCTGGCCCCCCATGTTGCACGCAGCCATTTCACAAAATCCCACCGCGGGGGACTCCTCTGGGGGCAGGGACGCTGCTCCTGGCGGGTGCTAAGGTTGGTGCCGCTGGGACTGATGTCCAAACGCTGAGGATGGAGGAGCTCTTGGCAGGCCCAGTTTTCCCACTGGCTTCAGCAGGCAGAGTCAGGCCGAGAGGAAGTAGCTCGTGCTGAGATGGTTGGAAACGGTGCCATGGATTTCCAGGGGAGCAGAGGGGACTTCAGCTGTGCAGTATAAGTCACAAACCTGTCGCTCCTGCCAACATTGGTGCAAGCCGGGAGCATTTCCCCGACCCCAGGAGGAGCCAGCAGCATGCGTTAGGGTTAGAGTTTCAATCACTTTATCGGTTTCCGGCAAATGTTTTAAAAATACAACATATCGTGTGGAGTTCATTCAGTAAATCATGGAGATTTTAACAGCTCAATCCTCTCTTATTAAGTGAGTCTTTATCTGATAGTTGTTTCTCACTCTGTTTTCAAGCCATAAGACCTCCCAGTCTATTAATCTGTAAAAAGCTACTAATAGTCTGTAAATGTTCCCTGGGAAAGATCTCAAGGGAACCACCCCCAGGGGAAATTTGATATCACCTTCCTTTGAATTTCAAAAGGAGCTGGGCACCTACCTCTGTCAGGCAGGAGCTATCTCAAATCCCCATCTAAATGAATCTCAGTTACTTAAGAGCCATCTAGAGCAAAATACCCAAATTCCCTTTGAAACCCAGTCTCAGTTGACTAGGCTGTAGAGAACAGGCTCTGGGAGCAGATGGCGAACAAGTTTTGAGGCAGTGTTTTGGTTTTGTTTAAAAGGAAGATTTTAGAAGGTCCCGCGTCCTCTTTGTAAGTTCTTGGTTCAGACGACTGGGAAGTTTTCTGAGAAAAAACATTTTTCTCATATTTCTGAGAAATATAGCCAAAGTCATGGCTTCTAGTTTTGTTATTTATACCTAGGCCCTAAATCACCAGTGTACCTACATGGACCGGTAAATGTAAGCATATGAGCATCCTATTAAAATCGGTGAGGTTGTTCACATGCTGGGAGTCACATGCATGATGAATTGGAGTTTTAATATTAAAAACCCAGCAGATGAGATCTTGACTGTTAAGATTAATATATGAAATCAGCTCTAGTGATTTTAAACATTAGCAAAAAGTATGTTTACATCTTTTCATCTCTCTCTTCCTGCATCTTTCTTCCCATGCTACTGACCAACTATTTTCCACAGCGACTGATTTACAGTTTGCACGGACGCATGATGGACGACCTGTGCCTTATGCCACTGCTGGGGACTGCTACAGTGCCGCCAAATGCCCACAGGTATTTGACAATTGCGTTTCATAGGAATCGGTGCCATTTATTATGTTCGGGCCCTCTGTTAATTACTCTTGATTACATCAGCCAAACTCCAGTGAGCATCACATTCTCATCGCAGCAGTCTGAAATTTTTCTTTTTTGTCTGTATGGAAAGTACTTCCCATTCCAGCAAGAAAATGTTGAGCTCTTACCAGACAACCAGAGGGACTTGTGAAGAGACATTCGTCAGTGCCCCTGCAGCGTGATCTGGAGCTGGCAGGAAGGGATGGCTTTTCATGGGGATGGGCCCTGCAGTTTCTCGAGGGGCAGTGGTGGCTTGGGAAACTTTCCTGCAACCTAGGAAATGCTCCTATATCCATTAGTCTAATCCAATTTCTTGAAAGAAATATGCTTTCCTGAAAGTCGTTAGGAGATTAATTAACATTCTGCTACAGCTGGGTTGCTCCTTGTCCCCTGCACATCTAGCTTTTGCGGTGCCGGGGGATGATAAGTGATATGTTTGGATAGTCCAAAGTATTTGGCAGACCATGTTCATAAAGGGTGTTAACTAGGGAATCACAGCAACAGACGGCGGAGGGCAAATCTCTCCATCTCCTTCCCTCCATACTACTGGAGCTGGCACTTGTCTGCACAGCTCAGTGGCTTCGGGATTGACGTCTTACCTTGGGAAGGCTCATGAATGTTAATATGAGTCCACCTGACCAGACAGTTTGCTCCTAGCTGAAAATCAGCCTTCCCCAGGCAGCAAGTGCATGGAGCAAAGTTAATGGCCATCTAGTAGTCTGCGGCATTGTGGCTGCAGTGGACCGTAGGTCAGCCTAGGACTGAGGCCAAAGGATCCCTCGGCATGTCTGGAAACGGGCAGTCTTGACCACAGGATTTAGGGTTTGCTGTGGGGGACAAGGAGGGAGGCTTCGGGGAAGATCTGCATTGGATGCAGACATAACCCTTAATTTTCCAGCCATTTATTGCACATTTTGCGAGCAAGAGAAAATTAAGTGAAGGGCATTTTTAAGAAACAAACAAATGAGAGTTTTGATTTGACTGAGGTTTAAAGAAAAAGAAAGAAAAAAAAAGCCCCGTGGAAAATCAGGACAAGCGTGCCCTCTCCAGGTGAGGAGGGAGAAGGGAGAGCAGGCTACCACGCTCTCCGGGGGTACCTTTCCCATCAGCTGCTGGAGCGTGTCAGGCGCCGCGGCTTGCCATGGGAAAGCCAAGAATGCCCTCAGCTGGCAAACCAAGAAAAAGCAGTGAAAAAAAAAGAAAGTGCACTGAAAAACCCGAGAAAAAAGCCCCTCCTTCCCTGCAGCCACAAACGAGAAGAAATTCCTAACCCGAGCCATGCTGCGATTTGTAGAGCATGTGCTAATCACTCGCAGAGCTACAGAAAAATTGCAAACTTTGCTGGCAAGATCTTGTTAGGAAAACGACACAGCGGTAAGCTGTAGTGGAAGGGAGCTCGCGGCAGCGATGCTGCGTGTCGTGACCGAAGGCCCATCTCTTCGGGGATAATCAGGCTTGTTTGCTTGTTTTTTTAGGGTCGCTTCAGTATCGACCTTTATGGAACGGGTCTGTCATTAACAGGAACGGCAAAATGGCTCTCACAAGGGAATTACGCGGTGTCAGAAATTCAGAAATCCCCAGTAAGTTTTAATTCTAATGGTGGTCACCCTCTAATTGCCTCCCGTCGCCTTGTCTTTTGTAGCAGTGTTCCTCCAAGTGAAGACCATTAAAAAAAAAAAACCTAACATCCAACATGAGAAATGAAATGTCGTTCATAACTGTATGCGAGATGGGGGTTGGCCCTGGTGGGTTTAACTTGATCTGAATTATTGCAATTAATTAGTGAGCCTGCTTAACAATGAAGCTGAAAACACTGAGCGCTGTGGGGCAGACATATCTTTAATTAGTTATCTGAATTGTCCAGCAAGGAGCCTGTGCATGGCGTGCGGGACCAGGATCGCCGTCTGCATTAGGGCTGCAAAACGATCCCCAGAAAGGGAGAAATAAAGCACTGGGATGAGCTGTGGGGTTAAGGTCTTTGCTTAAATGATGAGCAGGGTTGGGCTCGGACTGCTCCTTGTCTTGCAAGAGAGGCTCCTAAGCGCCAAGTGAGCACCCCCAGGCAGGAATTGTTCCAAAACATGACTAACAAAACATGGGGGACACGTGCCTTCCAGCTGGGTTGGTCTCACTTTATCTCTGTGCAAGAGATCAGATCACCCAAGCTTTCCATCTCCCTGGCTCTGGTGAGGCCCTTGCCAGCATGGGGCTCCTAAAGGACTGTTTTCAGCAGAAGAATCAAATGTCTCTGGTCAGATCATGCTGTGGTAAAGCCTCCTCCGGTACAGGTGTATTAGAAATAGCACAGACCTCCCCGCCCCAGGCTACTTTTGGCAGGTGCTGTGCTATTCTTCTCCTCTTCCGAAAGGAGAAGCCGAGGCAGCTGACTTTGGGGCTGCAGAGAGGAGAGTGACACAATTACAGCTGGCAGAATTGAATCGAACTTTAAGGGACAGGGAGTCTAAGAGATGACTCTTACCTTGATCGCCTGGTGGCATCTGTCAAGCGCTGCTCTATGGGCGTAATTGCCAGCAGGAGCAGAAGAAAGAAGGGAATAGCAAGAAGAGATGATAGCAGCCTGCTGCAATCACAGATCAATAGTGTCAAGGGCATTTATTTTCGTTTAAAAATAAATGCTTTGTGCAAGCTTGTCCTGCACTTAAGTCCGATTTTCTGGTAATTGAGGGTTGTATTCCCCTCAAGAACCGTCTGTCCATTGTAATGACCAAGAGGAGAAAGACCACACAGAGGTGCGAAAAGGAAGGCTAGATGTAGATCTTGCTTATGCCAGTATTAAGCTATTGACTCGAAACTGGAGTTACACCATGTTTACCAGGCTCTCCTGGAGATCGGGACAGCCCAAGGACTGCTCTGAGCTTTCCTTTGTCTCTTCTGGATTTGCACCTGAGGGTGAAAAGATGAATAGAGAAATGCAGAGCTGCGGGGAGCGGCACCGTGATTTTGCAAACTGCACATCCTCTCCACATCACTTGCTGTCTCATCTCAGCTCTGGAGCCACTCCAGGCTTTTCTCTTCCAAACAGATTTTTCTCAGTAATGTCTTCAAATATCCTTTCCATGCCCTTTACATGCCCAAGCACAAGTGAGGTGCTGTTATTGTCTGTATGTGTTATTTCTCCTGCATGATTCAGGCTTTCCACTCATTACAGTGGGACAACTAGTTATTCACTGTGGGGGCAAGTTGGAGAAGGTAGATGCTCTTGAGCTGTCCCTTGAAATGGCCTTTCCTTGAACACGTTTCAATGTGATAAATCAAAAATGTCCTTTCTTATTTGTGTTCACCATCTGACCTGCTAGTATTAAAGGGAATTACGTTTGCATGCATTTAAATAGAACTGTGATTTTGTAGATTGATTTAGTGCATTATTTGTTTTCCTTCCAGGACATTTTCTATTAAAAATTCTAGCTAGAATAACCCACATCTGGACCTTTAGCAGCATAGAGTTCCTGAGCCTTTACACTGCTGTGACACATTATTTCTGATTTTTGCTTGCAGGATGGTACCAAAGTAGTAGGAAAATGTGGCGGTTACTGTGGAAAATGTACTCCATCATCTGGAACAGGCCTTGACGTTCGAGTGTTATAGCAATGGTAGGTTCCCAGTCATCTCTGAATTAAGGGAAACCTTTCCAAGAACGTATTGCAGAAGGAACAGATTGGGCAGTGTTTTCAGAAGTCTCTTATTTTCCAAAGTCTGCTCATCACTTAGGCTTAGGATTTAGGTTCTGGAGACTCACTGATATTCAAAGACGTAAGGGTTGAAGTGCCTTTCAGGATCTAGGTCTTAAGCCTGTGTTTACATGGGACTTTGTGTAATACTATCAAAAAGGCCTAAATAGTCATGCTAACTGCTAAGTGCAGGAGTCCTTTATGAAAAACCTTACAAGCATTATGGCATAGCAGCAGGCAGCATATTGGCTCCCTCTGCAATAGCCATGCACGCTCACGCAGCGTAGCTGGAGGGGAGAGCAAAGCCTCCGGCAGTCTGCGCCGTCCCACATCTCCTACGGCGCTGCCAACGCGCAGGGAGGCAGCAGACAGAGCAAAGGGGATGATTTCAGTGAAAAAACCATGCTCCTATGCGTTGTACAGGAGAAGGGCCACTTGCCAAAATTTTACCCGCTTTTTTCTGGACTGCTGACGGCTTGCATGGGGCCTGCGATGGCCACTGTAAGGCTGCAGCACCAGTAGCAAGAGTAACTCTGCAATACTGTCCCCCTTTGCCACCCCCTCGGATGCTGCTGCACCCTGAAAATCAAAGATATGCTTTTGCAGGTGTGGCTGGTAACCTTTCCCACCCTGTGTTAAGTAAATGGCTCATGGCATAGAAGTATCGTTTCTGTGCCATTAAAGCACGTTCTCAGGGAGCACAAATTAACCGTCAGCAAAATAACGATGCTGATAGTCCGCACCAAGCTGTCAAACACAAACCGAAGCAGCCGAGGAAATGCTGCTTCTTCCTCTGCTGGCTCCAAAGCAGCCAAAGAAATGCTTTTTCCTCCTCTGCTGGCTCCAGCTCTCTCAGTCTTCAGTCCTCCCAGTACCACACACAGGTACAACGTTTTCAAGTGGAAACGTGGTGTCCAAGTTGACGGCACCTGCTTTGGCTCCGTTCTCATTTCGATCTCGGTAGTTAAAGGTTTCAAAGGCAAAGACAATGATCTTACTCTTAACGCGCAACTTGTCTGTTACTTTCCAGGTTCTCTGCAAGCAGACAGCTGAGATGAGCTGGATGAAGGATAGCGATGCAATACCTCTGCCTTCCACTTTTTTAAATCTGTTTATGTGTGTATATAGATCGCATATTCTTAATGTACAGTATAATATTTATGTTTGGAATTATTTATTTTGATTTAATATTTTTGTACGTAAAACCATTATATTAAGGCTGCTTTTACTATTTTTATTTTTTATTGTTAAATCCTGCAGTCAAACCACTGCATTTTACGTACTCTACATTATATGTAGCATTATGACAAGTGATACTTTATTGTCACTGTATTCAGTTGTTTACTTTCAATCAGTAATTTTCCTTCAGTTACGGGCTGCTCTGGCCCTTTACGGTGCTACACAATCTGCATAAGGGTATTTTTGGCATTTCAATCTGTCTTTGTGTAAGGAAAACAGACAAGATGTGCTTAAATTTTATTTTAGCGATCAGGCCGACAGCACTCAAGGAAAACATGACAATGAATACAGTGCTAGTTGCATTAGCAATCTTTATCTTTTAGGTATGTTTTGAATTTCACATGACCTCTGTGGCCAGTGCTAAAAGTCACTGGTTTGGTGCTAACATGATATTTATTAACGCTCTCTAGTTTTAGTTCCTTAAATCCAGTGCCTTCATCAGTGAAAAGAGGAAGAAAACAGAACAAAAAGTCAGCCAGTTCAAATAAATTGAGATCAACCCCAGGTTTTGGGAAACTCTTGGAAATGGATGATGAGCTTGAACGCCTCTTTTGTAGGGCTACGGAATGAACTTTCTTTTCCAAAAAACAAAAAAACAACAAAAAAACACCCATGCGTTTCTCCCCTAATTGCATGTGCCACCGCGCTTCCTGCCTCCATCTGGAAGCGGGGGCACTAACTCATCCGAGGCAGGCGGACGAGGCCATATGTCTCGCCGGGCTGCGCGCTGAGAAGCGCTGCCGCTTGGCGCGGCAGCTGTCACGAAAGCC